GGTATTCTGTGAGAGGTCCTTACAGTTGTTCCAGGTAATTTTAAAAGCCAGTCTAATTTTAAGTTATGAGGTTCAACCTCCCTGGTGACCCCAGCATTATGGACTTTGCAGCCTCCCCATCTGCTCTAAAATAATCCATTGAACCAAATGATTGTTTTGCAGCAACAGCCGGTACTGAGACACCCTCGCAGCTTTATCTCACTGTATGTAACATATTTTCTCCGTGTGGTGGTTTTGCAAGAATGTTTATTTTCTGGAGAAAGAAAAAAAAAGCTTATGGCTTTATAGAGTAAGCTTAGAGAAAGGGGCAGGTGAGAGGGAGGAGGCTGGAGGCCTCGAATGTTTGCCATGAGCTGTCCAGCGGGACACAAACCATAAACCATAGTGATCTGGACCCAGCTAAACCATTGGCTCGGGCACCTTCACCAGCCCCTTATGATATTTTTTCTTTAATCCCTAACTTCCCCCCCCCTGTTTCTGTTCAGCTATCTGCAAAAAAGATCTGCAAACTACTTTTGTACTATTCTCACCTATGCAGAGGACATGGTCTATGGGGTGACTTTAGATGGTGTCTCAGCTGCCACCCACCCAGTTCAAATCCCTCCACCTGCCACAATGGAGTTTTAGCTCAGGGTGGCTTCCTGTCTCAAGGAACCAGTTTCCATCTATTTTTTTTAAAATTGAATTATTTATTTTTTAATTTTTTTTACAGCCATTTGGCTCTCAGGGACAGACATGGTTAGGAGTATTTATTGAGAGGAGGAACCAGGAAGCCTGGAGACAGGGCAGGGATGAGTCCCAGAAGCCAGGGCTCAACCCTGAACTGTCGGCAGGAGACCTATTTAAAGTGAGCTCAACCATCTAATCCAGGCCGGACCACTCAGCTTCTCCTCCTTCAAGTCCCAGCTAGCTGCCTGCTTCTGCCCCTCTGTGACCCTCGTGAAGCTTTCCAGTCCCACTTCCAGTGGGCATGGAGTCCCAGACCTCAAAGGATCACACTGCTGCAGTGCCTGCCTCCTTCCCTTTCCCTCAGGGCAGCCAATGGACGAGAATCGATCTGAATGCTTGGTCTTTAGGATGTGGGACTCTGGGGTTCATGCTCAGCTCAGAGCAAAGGGAAATGATGATGCAGAGGTTGAGGACCAGTGTCTCTGCATTGACCTTCCCACCTTCCCTGCCCTACCCCTTCCTGTACGAGCTTTAGTTTTAGTTTCTCTGATGAAAAGGCAACTTTATATTCTCACATAGCTTCCCTATTCCCTCTCTCAGCTAAGTCCCTTTAGTTATCACCATGGAAGCCCTCTAGCTTTCTCACACACAAGGTAGGTGTCCAGTGGTTGAGGTGGGTGGGGAGGAAGGAAGTCAGAACCAGGCCTGGTAGTGTTGAGTCTGGGCCCTGGTCTCCACTGGGCCACCACTGCTGAGATAGTCTGAGCCAGTCCCTCTTGTCAGGGAAAAGCCAAAACTGCCTCAGCAAGTAAGGAAAACTCTAAAGTTACACGCAAATTACGAGATCCTACAATTCTATGAAAGGCTGAAAAGGATGGAGCTGGGAAAGATCTGGGTCATGAATGGAACATGAACTATAGGGGTAGAACAGCAATTCAGATGCCTTGGATTTGGAACTGCAGAATTTGGAATACAGAATGGGAAGATGAACAGAGTTACAGACTAGATCACACCTGGGAAGGGTTCCCAGGTACAGCAAGACGAAAGAGACGCTCATCTCTTTTCTCGCATAATGAGATGGAGAACTTGACTGAGCTCCAGCACTGCTGTGTGGGAGAGTCTCCTCCCTTTTTACTCCTGCAGGCTAAGGAGGGCCAGGGCCCCATTCTCTCACCTGCCTACAATTCCTTTTCTCTCTTCATACTATTAGCCCAACCCTCATTCTACTGGGCCTGTTTGTATGGAGTGGGTCAGGACTTCAGTGATCACACCTCCATCAACCTGGTAGCTTGATTCGACCTCTCCCTTTCAGGAAAACTTATGCTGAGTCACTGATGAACCAATTAAATTTATAAAATTAATTGTAACGGTGTGTGTGTGTGTGTGTGTGTGTGTGTGTGTGTGTTTGTGTGTTTCATCTGCAAGGAACTTTGGCAGGTGCTAGGGGCAGGGCCATTTTCCTAGTTCCATCTGGCTGATTTCGCCCCGCCCCCCCAACTCTGTTACCTGAGCTATACTCAGGAAGGGCCTCTGCACCCTCCCAAACCCCCATGGCAGAAGGGACAGCCCTTTATAACTAGGCACTCAGGACATTAGTGTTTCTACCTCTGGATGAGGAGGATTTACACCAAAAGCCCTTAACCCTGTCCTTAGAATTCATACCAGGGGGCAGAAAACACTTGATACTGTCAAATGCTGCATGAGAGTTGTGACTGCCCTAGACAAACCAGGCCTAAAATGAGGAAGCTACTGATGCACCCTTGGGGAAAAAAGTGTCAGAGAATGAATGCCGTCCCTGGCTTGCAGCCCTCACTAGTATGGGATGTTTGGGTGAATGTGACAGTGGTTAAGAATCCAGGTCATGAAGGCATATCCGCAGTTTCACATCTTGGCACTACCACGCTATCGCGTTATCTTGGACCTACCACGAACTCATTCACTCAACTAGTCGGAAGCAGAGCACGCACCAGTTGGGGGCCGTTGCTTTAGGCTCTGGGCAAAGAGTAAACAGGGCACCTAAGACTCTGCCCTTGCAGCATCAGTTTCCCGGTTTTGGAGGACAGCGTGAGGGTGTTGCTGACCCTTCCTAACAAACACAGGTCTCAAGGCCGCTTGCTTGCGCGCAGCCCAGGAGCTACTTCCGCCGGGAGCCGGCGGCCGGCCAGGGCCTCAGCGCTTCGCTTCCGGCCTCCGCGCCTCGCTTCCGGCAGACCGCTCTTTCCTTCCGTTTCTCTATGGTGCCTGGGAAGCCCTCTCTCCGCCGCCGGAAGTGGCTCACTGGCCGCGACAGGTTCGGGGCTGCACGCGGTGAGGACTGGAGCGGGACAGAGGGGCTGGTAGGAGGGGCGGGGCAGGGCGCTCCGGGACCGAGGTGCGGACTTCCCGGAGGGCGTCCCCAGGCTGGAGTCCGACCCGAGTTCTGCGTGCTCACTCTTCGGGGTCCCCAGCCGCTCGGCGCCGCGCGCTCAGTCTCTTCAGGTGAAAATGTTGGCAGCAGCAGCTTCGGGCCCCACTATGCAGCTCTAGGTGACGACGACGTTGTCGATGTCTATGGTGGTGGTGATAACAACTCACATTTATTGGGTGCTTACGTGTGCCTGGGTCTCTTTACTGTGTAGCCAAGTCAGGATTTCTCACATTTCAGCCTTTCGCGTCCCACCTTTTTGGGTTTTGCCCAATTTACCTTTAAGACTGTTTGCTAAGGTTTTTAATCGAGTCACTTTTTACTTCGCAAAGGTAAATTGGTTTTAGGAGAAAATTTCGATGGTCTCCCATAAACGGAGACTTGGCAGTATGCAGAAAGTAATGATAAAAATTAATATAATTAACATGAAAACAGACTAATTCTGGCTAGATTGCATTGTCTAAAGCTCTGAGACAGAATCCTTTTGCTAAGAAAGGAATATTGATGTTCACAGATGCTAAAGACAAATTAGGAAAATGAGATGTTCTCCTTGAAGCAATCGGAAGTTTCTAAAAAGAATTGAAAAGGGATTGACCTCCTTAGATGTTCAACATTATTTCAGATCATCCATGTGCCATTTACAGTCCCACTGCTAGGTCATCTTCATCACCTTCCCCAGAGGAATGCCTCCTGTGTCAATGTCCACAACAACCCCTGAGGTAGGGACTGTTATTCTCATTTCCTCTGAGGAAACAGGCCCAGAGAACAGTGAAGTGACTTGTCTCAGGACTCCTAGCCGTTTAAATAGAGTGGAGACTCCAACTCAGGGATTCTCTGACTCACTACCATCAGCCATTGGCTCCTTCAGTAAATGCTGGTGGCAGATTTTTTGGGCTAAGGGAGATGGTGCTGCCCACCTCAAGGGGCTGTGGTGACAACCAGGAGAGGTAGCAGAGGGGGAGGATGCTTTGTGACCCTAGAGCCCCACGAAATGTAGGTTCTATTCTTTTAAATTTTAGGGTCAACCAAAGAGTTGATGGCATTGCCAGCTGAGATGGTAGCGAGACACATTGGTGTTACAAGAATGTAGTCAAGAGCACTGATGTGGCATCAGATGGAACCAACTTTAGCAAACTAGCCGTGTAACCTTGGGCAGCTCATTCGGCTTTCCGAGCCTCGGTGTTCTCATCTATAAAATGGTACTTGTTCTTACCTGAAAAGTTTGCTATAAGGATCAAATGAGTATTTATCCGTAAAGTGCTTAGATCAGGTCCAGCACACGGTGATCAATCGATAGTATTGGGAACAGGTGTATATGCTAAGCCTCGGAGTTTAGTCAGTGATGTGGTTATGGCGCCTTTAATTTTTTTTTTTTTTAACGTTTATTTGTTTTTGAGACACAGAGAGAGCATGAACGGGGGAGGGTCAGAGAGAGGGAGACACAGAATCTGAAGCAGGCTCCAGGCTCTGAGCTGTCAGCACAGAGCCCGACGCGGGGCTCGAACTCACGGACCGCGAGATCGTGACCTGAGCCGAAGTTGGACGTTCAACCGACTGAGCCACCCAGGCGCCCCAGTTATGGCGCCTTTAAAGGAGGTGAAGATGAATTCATTTTGGATAGGCTGAGGACCGATTCCCCTTTTTACACAGGATTAAACTGAAGCTTTGGAAGGTTGAGTGACCCTTTTTTTGAGTTACCAAGGTTGTTAGTGGCCAGCACTACTAGTTAGACTTAAGTATTCTGACTCCAGAAAAATCTCCAATTCCAACTCTGGAAAATTGCAAAAGTTTTCTCCTTTTAACAGGTCTCTATCTCCTCTTGACCTTACCAAACAACCATGTCATCAGAATCAAGCAAGAAACGGAAGCCCAAAGTGATACGAAGTGATGGAGCTCCATCTGAAGGCAAGCGTAACCGTTCTGACACAGAACAGGTGAGATCAGCCAGTGCTGCCATGCTGCTGAGAAATTACAGCTTGTGGCGAATCACCTGGCTGTGGGTTTGCAGCAGCTGAGGGTCACAGTGATGGCTTCCCAGGTGGCCTCTGCTTGACCAGGTGCCTGGAATTCCCCTGATTCTACAAAACCTGAGTATTCACATTTGGTTTAGCAGCAGCATTCCAAGAACCAACCAGCCTATATCAGACATGAATAGTGCCTGAACAGACAATGCATTCTAGTATGGTGTGTGTCTCCCAAGTTTCCAGAGTCAGAAGAAGCCAGTATCTGCAGCATACCACCAGAAACTGGAGATGTGGCATTCCTGGTCAGCTACTGAGAAAGTACCAGAACAACATCTCCGCAGAATGTCTTCTGTGGCCTAAGAGCTCATGCTGTCAGCAGGTTCTTCCTTTTATCATTTCCCTGTCTTTAAATCTCTCAAGCTAATTTTTCTTAAAGATTAATTATTTATCTTGAGAGAGGGAGAGCACATGCCCACGTGTGCGAGTGGGGGAGAGGCAGAGAGAGAGGGGTAGGAGAGAAAATCCCAAGCAGGCTTTGCACTGTTAGCTCGGGGCTCAATCCCATGAACGAAGAGATCACGACCTGAGCCGAAATCAAGAGTCGGACGCTTAACTGACTGAGCCACCCGGGTGCTCCTGTCAAGCTAATTTGTGACCTAATTGTTTTGATTGGTTGGTTACTTTTTTTTTTTAACTGGATTAGAGAAGCATAGGAGCTTGAATTTAAGTAGAAAACGATCTTTTTCTCAGATTTAGGAAATCTAGAGTAAGAAAAAACCTTATCCATTGTGTAGGCATTAATTCTTTTTTATTGAGATGTAATTGACATATAACATTAATTTAAAGTGTATAATGATTTGAAATCTGTGTATGTTGTAAAATGATCACTACAAAAGTCTAGTTAACCGTATGTAGTTACAGTTTTTTTTTTCTTGTGGTAACTTTTAAGACCTATTGTCTTAGCAACTTTCAAATATGCAATATAGTATCATTAGCTAACTCTCTTCAAGAGATGTGTTCCATTTACTCCAAAGGCTGGGTGACCAATTACGATATTTTAGTCTCTGCTAAAGCTTGATTTGACCATCTAAACACCCATCAGTAGGAATTTGGTTAAATGCATTCTGGTTCATCCATACAGTGCATTCTCACACAGCCATTTTGATGGATATTTAATTTATTGGGATGAGAAACTGCACTAAATAGCATGAACAGTGTGATTCCATTTTGTTTAAAAATAAAATTTGTGTTTATCCACAGTATTAAAAATAGTTGTTTCAGTTTGGAGGTGAGATTACAGGCAACTTTTCATTTTGTTTTTGATACTGCTCACTATATTCTGAGTCTCTGACACCAAGGATGCATTACTTTATAATTAGAAAAAAAGAGGGATTCTTTTCCATTTTGAGAAGAAGGAAAACATGTGATTTGAGGACCAAATTTTTTTTTCTTAAGATTTTATTTTTAAGTAATCTCCACACCCAACATGGGGGCTCGAACTCACAACTCTGATATCAAGAGTCGCATGCTCTACCAACTGAGCCAGCCAGGCGCACCTTGAGGACCAGATTTTTTTAGAGACATGATTTGGAGTTTCATTGTTACTGATTTCAGCCAAGTGTCCCTGGTCCCAACAGGGAGACTTTTATTCCCCACCCAAGGCATGTATCCGTGCTTCCACAGGAAGGTAAATACTACAGCGAGGAGGCTGAGGTGGACCTGCGGGACCCTGGCAGAGACTATGAGCTGTACAAGTACACGTGCCAGGAGTTGCAGAGGCTCATGGCTGAGATCCAGGACCTGAAGAGCCGAGGAGGCAAGGATGTGGTAAGGAGTAGCAGTGGTTTGGGGCAGACATGAACATGGTGGGTTTGCACGGATGGACTTGTTTTGCACCCACCAGAGCCCTTCCTGATCTTGGTCTTCCGGCCTAACCATGATCAGGTAGTTGGAGTCTGCGGGCTCCAGAGATGGTGCTTATTAATTTATTGAAACATTTCATCGCTCCCCAATCATCAATTAGAGTAACAAAAGTACAGGATAATTAATTTTTCTCCTAAGTGTAATTTGACAGTTCATCTAATTAATACTTATTACATGTCAGGCATTTTGTAGGAAATGATATGTGTAAATTCCTTTGATGTTGTAAGGATGGATAGGTACAGGTATGTTATAGACACCAAAAATGAAATTGTTAGTATTAAATGAATGAACCAGACTTTGAGGCAAAGAAACTAAACAGTGTAACTAAAAACAAAACCCATGTATTGCCAAGAATCTCACTTATTTGTGCTTATCCTGGCCCAATATTGTTATGATTATTACATCATATTTTACTGTTGCCAAGCTTTATAGCTATAATTCTGGTATGTTCATTTAAGTTATTCTGTAAGGTTATTCATAGAGATCAAATTGTATGGCGGGATGTTGCTATTGTTAGGATCTCTGTAGACAATATGTATGAACAGATATTAATTGGTTTTATTTTTTAATGTTTATTAAAGTTTATTTATTTTGAGAGAGAGAGTGGGGGAGGGCAAAGAGTGACAGGGAGAGAGAGAATCCCAAGCAGGCTGTACTCTGTCAGCAAAGAGCCCAACATGGGGCATGAGATCATGATCTGAGCCAAGATCAAGAGTCAGACACTTAACCAACTAAGCCACCCAGGTGCCCTGGGACAGATATTAATTGTGCATTGGCTATACTTGCTCCATTTTCCATCGACAGTTCTCATCATTCTGAGCTCCTTCCAGTATCTGTTTTTGGCCCTGGGTAGGGATGGGTCAGCAGTGAGGGGCTGAAGGAAGCTGAGCCATCACCTGTTGTCAAGGTCTTCACCAGTTTTCTTTGCCTGCAGGCAGTTGAGATAGAAGATCGGAGGATCCAGAGCTGTGTGCATTTCATGACTCTAAAGAAGCTTAATCGATTAGCCCATATCAGGTTGAAGAAAGGAAGAGATCAGACCCATGAGGTAGGAATTGAGAGGTTTAATCCTCCTCCTCCCTCTTCCCCATCCACTTCTTAATCCCCTTTACCTCTTCCCTGAGTGTGCTGCTGCTCTGTTTGACCTGACTTGCCCCACTTACCTCTGACCTTGTCCTCCTTTCAGGCCAAGCAGAAAGTAGATGCCTATCACCTGCAGCTCCAGAACCTGTTGTATGAGGTGATGCACCTGCAGAAAGAGATCACCAAATGTCTGGAGTTTAAGTGAGTTTTGGAGAACAAATTTTGTCAAAATTGCCTACTGGTAACTACTTTCTCCTGCATAGCTCAAGGTTAGCTAGTCTCCTTAAAAAGAAATCAGATGAGGGGCGCCTGGGTGGCTCAGTCGGTTAAGCGGCCGACTTCGGCTCAGGTCACAATCTCGCGGTCCGTGGGTTCGAGCCCCGCATCGGGCTCTGTGCTGACCGCTCAGAGCCTGGAGCCTGTTTCAGATTCTGTGTCTCCCTCTCTCTCTGACCCTCCCCCGTTCATGCTCTGTCTCTCTCTGTCTCAAAAATAAATAAACGTTAAAAAAAAATTAAAAAAAAAAAAAATCAGATGAACTTAGAGACTGCAGGATCTGGGACAAAAGTGAATAGATCACTTTGGGAGAATTGGATAGCAGTGTTTTCAAGCTGCACAAAGAACCTTAGAAGCTTGTCTGACTTTTTCAAGTTTTGAGCTCTGTACCTGGCCAAAACCAGTTGTCTATCTCCAGCAGCGGCCTTTATGTTACCAGTTTGATTCCTGGGCACCTTGTGTGGGAGCAACTCCCTTCCAGTCAAATCCTTTTAACCTTTTGGCCCACTTTTCCTCTCTAAAGTTCCAGCCATTCATTTTTGCAACTGGATTTTATTCTTTGGAACCTGAACTTCTTGCCACTTAGTTGCTCTCAGGTAAACAAACTATAGTTTGTCAGTGTCCATTTTAAAATGTAATGCCTCTTGGCAAATCCAAGTTGAGAGATGAGAAGGAGGAAAGAGTAGACAGAGGAAGAAAAGAGAACGTATTCTTGTTTGGTCAGACCTATTTGTGCAAACTGAAAAGAGGCAGGTTTTATTGTAATAAACTTGTGATGAGAGGGGCACATCAGTCATTGGGTCTGGTGTATTCCTGATAGTTATGCTAATTTTTTAAAGTTATTTTTAAGGAGAGAGAGCTCACAAGCGAGCAGGGGAGAGGCAGAGAGAGGGAGAGACAGAATCCCAAGCAGGCTCTGTGCTGTCAGTGCAGAGCCCAACATGGAGCTCGAACTCACAAACCATGAGATCATGACCTGAGCTGAGACCAAGAGTTGGACACTTAACCTGCTAAGCCACCCAGGCACCCCAATAATTACACTGATTATTTGCTTTATACATTCATCATGTAATGATAGTTAAATACTAATAGAGGCAAAATTCACATCAGGTTTTTCTCTGAGTTAATAGTATTGAGTCATTGTCAGTTTTGACTATGTACTATGCATAGATCAGATATTATTGGGGGAACCAGGGGAAGGTAAACTCTCAGTACTGTTTTGAAACTTCTTATGTATCTTAAACTGCTTACAAATAAAAGATACTAAAAACAGAAGAATGGGATGCCCCAAGCTGTTACTGTCACTCAGATGAAAGCTGACAAATTCAGAATACAATAGAACTCTAGTCTCTGGAGAGGCAGGTGACCACCATTGGCCCTGGTCAGATAAGCCTGGGTTCAAATCCCAGCTCTGCCACTCACTAGCTATGTGACTTTAGGCAAGCTGCTCATCTGTAGGAGTCTCCATCTCATTTGAAACATGGAGATAGAAATCCCCATTTGATAGAGATGTCCTGAGAATTAGGTGAGGCTGTCATACAGTGGGTGTTTAATACCTGGTAGCTGCCATTATTACCATCATCTGTCCATGACCTGTGCACTATGTTAATGCAGGAAAGAGTATGGGATTTCTTTAGTATATGTGAATCACTAAACATAACGATTGAAGCCTCTAGATCGTTTTCACACCTGGTTATGCCATCCTGAATCTTCCCCATCCCTTGTTTATGTGATTAATGTTTTAAACTTAAGTGCAGACCCTTAGGTTTTTTTCTGTTAAACGTAATTTATTGGTTTCAACCTGTCAATGTAGGCCTAGACTGTAGTGTTTTTATTGACTTTTTCAGCTCTTAGCTGTCTTACTAAGCTTGGAGATAATCTGTAAATTTGATAAGCATCCCTTCCAAGTCTTTAATTCATGGATAAAAAGGTTGAGCACCATGGATAAGGATCCCGTGGTATGTAATCATCTACTTCTCTTCAAAGTGAGATATTTACTAACGAGCCTTTGCTGAGAAGACTTGATGGATTCCAGGTTCCTGGGTAGTTGTAGACCAGGGCTAAATGGGCATCTATGGGGGGAACTGTGGGCTTGCTTATTCCATGGTTTGGAGTCTTGAGAACAGCAACTTAACATCTAGTATTTGCCTGCAGGTCGAAGCATGAAGAAATTGATCTGGTCAGTTTAGAGGAGTTTTATAAGGAGGCTCCTCCAGATATTAGCAAGGCTGAAGTCACCATGGGAGACCCTCACCAGCAAACCCTGGCACGTCTGGACTGGGAGCTGGAGCAGCGAAAAAGGTTGTGTTTCTCCCTTCCTGACCTTGTTAACCTGTGCAACACAGACCTTTACCCATGGGGACAACGCTTTGTCATGACCCACAGTCAGACACTGCAGTTCTGTGGAACCAGCAGAATGATTTCTTAAGACCAAATCTCATTTTGTGATTCATTCACATCTGATAATTCAGACTTGACCAACTGCATCATAGGTGGGGTTGGAATTAATTAAGGCTGTTAATAGAAAATTGGAGTAACATTTCTTTAAAATTTTAATACCTGAGACCTAAATATCTTTTGTACTGTTAAGTCCAATTTTGTTTTTTGCTTGTTCCTCCTGCCTCTAAGACTACCCCTATGGTACTTTAAAATTGTGCAAACATTATTTTAGAAGGTTATACAATATCTTGTATGTGGACAAATTATAATTTATATAGTTTTTTCTTTATTGGGTTAGACTTTTATCATTTTTTGCTATCATAAATTATGCTTTCAGGAACCCCTTTACACATAAAAATTTCCCATACTAATAAAGGTCTTTTACTTATTAAAAAGAACATTTCTACTGTGTAACTTAATCTAGGTATTTTTAAGAATATAGCATTTTTTTTTCATACTGGATTTTTCGTGGCTGCATCCTTTTCATTATGGTGGCTTTCTTCCTCTGTATTTGTACAAGAATTCTAGGGCATTTGGTTGACACAGCTCTGTTTTCCATTGGAGAAGTAGGTGTTTTATTTCCTTTTTTTTTTTTTTCTTTTCTGTTATAGAATGTATTCTATTCAGTCTATGTTAATGAATTTAGTAAGCACTAAGTTTGACTCTTATGGAATTGGTGCCAGATTTTAGCAGATGGGGCTGGCCCATCACTTCTCTGTCCAGTACACTGCTTGCCTTGGGCATAGGTTAAACCATGAGTGTTGTGTTCCTGTGGTCCATAATCCATCCCTACCCTGCCCCATTCAGTCCAGTCTGTGGACCTCATTTGGGTCCTATAGTTGCTAGATCCACATGTTTGTGAAAGTTTGGGGTCTAGACCCTAGAGGCAAGAAATGGAGCAGGAAATGACACAGGGATATCCCCTAGTGGTTAATGGGCAGAGCCTCTGGAGCCAGACAGGCATGGATTCAAAGCCCAGCTTTGTACTTACTCTTAGCTGAGTGACCTTGGGTAAATTCCCTACCTCCTTGAGCCTTTGTTTCCTTCTTTGGGGAAAAGAAGAGTCCCTATCTTCCAGGATTTTTATAAGATTAAATGCAATAATGCTTATAGTTCTCCAAGTGCCTGGCACATAGTAAGTACTAGGTAAACATTAGTTAATCATGACTGCTGTCATTAGGTGGCTTGTGACAGTGAGTAGATGTATCGGGAGATCTCTGAGCAGCTTCAAGTGACAGTGGTCTGTCCTCTCCCCATAGGCTGGCAGAGAAGTACCGAGAGTGCCTGTCCAACAAGGAGAAGATCCTCAAGGAGATTGAGGTGAAGAAGGAATACCTGAGCAGCCTCCAGCCTCGTCTCAATAGCATTATGCAGGTGAGGCTCTCCCCCACATACTCCCCTACCTTGGCCTTTTGCTTTGCCTTCAGCACCCAGCAAGACCTTGCTGACCTGAGGCCTCCAGCAGCCACATCTCCCTTTGGGTTTTGCCAGGTCTGTTACCCTAACAGATGTCAGAGCCCATTGCAAGGATGGTCTTGTCTCTAGTTTCTACCCAACCAGTGCAGTAAGGTTGTGTCCTGGGTGGAAGAGATGCTGCCAGGTGAGCTCAGGAACATGTACACACATTTATGTGAGATGTTTTCTTTTCACCCAGAGCTTCCTCCAGGTAAAATACTTTTGCAAACTCTAGGTTTAATTTACCCCAGAATAGTTTCCATCAGCCTCACAGTTTCCAGGCATGCTTAGATGTGGATGTCTGTTAGACTCCCTGACTGCACCTTGGGGGTAGATGTTTAGCAGAGGTACTCTCTCTGAAAAGAACTTTACTCCTATTTGAAAGCCATCAGGTACCTTAGGAGGATAAGTCCCCACTTTAGATTGTAATGTAAAATGTAATGTCTTTCTTTTTTTTTTTTTTTTTTTTTTGAGAGAGCACAGTGGGAGAGGAGCAGAGAGAGGGAGACACAGTATCAAAAGCAGGCTCCAGGCTCTGAGCTGTCAGCACAGAGCCCAACGCGGGGCTCGAACTCACGAGCCATGAGATCATGACCTGAGCCGAAGTTGGATGCTTAACTGACTGAGCTGCCCAGACGCCCCTGCAATGTCTTTCTATATAGGTGACCTGATTTTTGTTTGCTCTGTGAAGCAGATTGCTCTAAATCCTTATAGTTGTTTTTAACTCTTTTTTTCTTAACTCTTTTTTAAGTAAACTCTGCCCAACGTGGGGCTTGAATTCACAACCCCAAGATTAAGAGTTGCATTCTCTACAACTGAGTCAGTCAGGTGCCCCTGGGAGTTTTTGCTTTATAAACTAAAACACGACTGTTTAAAAAAAATTTTTTTTTTAATGTTTATTTTTTGAGAGAGCACAGGTAGGGAAGGAGCAGAAAGAGAGGGAGACACAGAATCCAAAGCAGGCTCCAGGCTCTGACCTGTCAGCACAGAGCCCGATGCAGGGCTCGAAGTCATGAACCATGAGATCATGCCCTGAGCCAAAGTCAGACACTTAACCACCTGAGCCACCCCAGCGCCCCTAAAACACAACTGTTTAAAACAGCGTACATATATTACATTTAAAAACATAACTTTTACGGGGCGCCTGGGTGGCTCAGTCGGTTAAGCGTCCGACTTCGGCTCAGGTCATGATCTCACAGTTTGTGAGTTTGAGTCCTGCATCGGGCTCTGTGCTGACAGCTCAGAGCCCGGAGCCTGCTTCTGATTTTGTGTCTCCCTCTCTCTCTGCCCCTCCCCTGCTCATGCTCTGTCTCTGTCTCTCAAAAATAAATAAATGTAAAAAAAAAAAAATTTTTTTTAAACACAATTTTTACAAAAGAAAAGCATACAGTTCCTAAGTGTATAGCTCAGTGAATATTCTCTAGTGAACACATCTATGTAACCTGCACGCAAATCAAGAAAAAGAACATTACCAATTTTCCAAAAGATATTTTATTCCCCCTCTCAGTTACTGTCTCCTCTCACCCTTCAGTAACTATTATCTTGATACCTAATGTCATAGGTTAGTTTGGCCTATTTTTGAGTTTATACAAACAGAATTGTATATATACTCTTGTGTCTGACTTCTTTTGCTTAACATTATGTTTGTGAGATTCATCTGTACTGTTGTGAGCACCAGGAGTTCATTTATTTTCATTAATACTTAGTATTTGATTGTGGGTACTTCCAGTTTGGGGCTATTATGAATAATAATGTTATAAGCATTCTTTGTCGTTTGGTGTCATATGTACATATTTCTGTTGAATATATACCCAGGAATGACACTGCTGGGTCGTAGAGTATGCTAGGCATATATTTAGCTTGGCAGACACTGAAACAGTTTTCTAATGTGATTGCACTGATGTACAAAATTCCCCCCAGCACCATGTGAAAGTTCTAACTGCTCCACATCCTCACCAGTGCTTGGTATTGTCAGCCTTCTTGATTTTAGCCATTCTGAAGGGTATTGCCTTTCTCTGGGGACCAGTGATGTTGAGCACAACCCCTTTTTATACTTCTTTGCTTTTGGATTACCTCATTTGCAAAAGGCTTATTCTAGTCTCCTGTTCATTTTTCTATTGGATTGCTTGGACTTCTTTATATATTCTGGAGATGAGTCTTTTGCGTATATTTTTCCCATTTTATGACTTTCTTTTTCACTCTCATAATGGTATCTTTTAATGAGCAGATGTTCCTAAATTTTATATGATCTAATCAGTGTTTTCCTGTGTGGTTAGGATGTCCTGTTTAAAAATCTCTCTCTCTGTCCCAGGGTCATGGAGATATTCTCACATTTTCTTATAGAAGCTCTATTGTTTATCTTTCACACTTAGAATCTAGGATACCTGGAAGGGAACATTGTACATAGTGTGATATAGGGTCAGTTTCATTTTTTTTTCATGTAGGTATTCAGCTGGGTCATTTATTGAAAAGGCCATGCTTTCCCCACTGTTCTCCAGTGCCACTTTTGTCATAAATCAAATGTCCATGTAGGTTTGTGTGTCCTCTATTTGTCTTTCCATGCACCAGTATCACACTGGCTTATTTACGGTAGCTTTGTCAGAAGCCTTGATGCCCAGGGGCGCCTGGGTGGCTCAGTCAGTTAAGCAACTGACTTTGGCTCAGCTCATGATCTCACAATTTGTGGGTTCAAGTCCCTCATCGGGCTTTGTGCTGACAGCTCAGAGCCTGGAGCCTGCTTTGCATTCTGTGTCTCCCTCTCTTTCTCTGCCCCTCCCCCACTCATGCTCTGTCTCTGTCCTTCAAAAATAAATGTTAAAAGAACTTATTAAGGAAAAAAATAGTTTAAGAGAAGTCTGATGCCCAGTAGTGTGTGCTCTAGCTTAATTTTTCAGGATTGTCTTGGTTGTTCTTGGCCCTTTGCATTTAACATGTAAATTTTAGAATCAGCTAGTCTATTTTCACCTGCTGGGATATAGACTGGGGTTGCATTGAATCTGTAGATCAGTTTGGAGTGAACTGATTTCAGGGCAGTGTTGAGTCTTCCAGGCCATTAACGTGGCCTTTCATTTCTCAAGCCTTTGTGTAGAGGCTTACACACCTTTTACTTACTTATTCTTAGGTAGTTTAAGTCTTCTTGATGCTCTTGGAAATGCTTCTTTTTTTTTTTTTTTTTTTTTTCATTTTCATACTGTTTGTTGCTTGTGTAAATTGATTTTTTTGTATTGACCTCTTATCTACCTATTCTGTTAACTTATCATGTATTTTTAATAGATAAAAAAAACTATTATAGTAACTCAGCAGCCACCTCTTCACATGTGGACTGCCTACAAAGGGAAAATAAAAATCCTTCTTTTGTTGCATGCAGGCTTCCCTCCCAGTGCAAGAGTACCTATTCATGCCGTTCGACCAGGCTCACAAGCAGTATGAGACAGCTAGACATCTGCCACCGCCTCTCTATGTCCTCTTTGTCCAGGCCACTGCGTATGGGCAGGCCTGTGGTGAGTATGGGGGCTGGGTGAGGAAGAGGGGCTGTGGGAGCAACAGCCGTGGCCGATTGAGTCATTTGGAAGCCCTGCCTGCTGAGGAAAGCTCCCTGGTCCTGCTCAGAAGTTCCCAGGTGACAGACGCTGCCTCCCCTCTGCACCGCCCAGCATGGCTGCTCTGACCAGCTGGCCTGAGGCTAGACTAACCTGGTGGGCATTTCAGAATGGATGGCTTTGAATCTTCAATGAGCCTGGCTGGTCGGCTAGTGGGTGTAGTGCCCTGGCAGCCTGCCTGCCTGGGCTCCCAGACACTCACCCCATCAAGGCATGCTTGGCAGGTGGATCAGCACTTCTTCTTCCGCTTCAGAGAGAGGACTTGGTGAACATAGGTCCCAGGCAGCTTTCCCAGACTTTCATGATGCCCAAACAGGCTGCATGTCGTTAAAGTGAATTACCAAGTGGGAAGACGTGTCTGCTTTAAGCTTATGGGCGACCCTTTACTCCATAGAGTTTTGAAAAGGTTTTGGAGACCTTACCTTTTGCCCTACTGCAGCTTTCACCCAGCACCTAAACTTTTCTTCTTCACCCCACCGCATCAAACAGACCTGTACAGCATCAGTGCATGCCTATCCTCCCAGCCATGGGCACCGACACATTACTGTCTCTCTTCTTGTGTCTTCCTGGTCCTCCTGGTCCTCTCCTTCCCTTTTGTTCTCCTTCTTGTTTCCATCATCAGCTCATATGAAATCCTCCCAGCCCCCTAGACAGGGTGAGTAATTTTCTTTTGTGTTTAAACCCAACCTGTTTCCTTTCCCATTTTACTATAGAATTTCAGAATTAAGCTACCCAAAAGAACAGTTTGGCATTTGCCAGTGGTTGATGGGGGCATCTAGCTTGTTTGGGTGAGGTATGTTGGTTCATGCAGGGCTGTCAGAGAGCAGTGGCCGATCACCTGGAAGTATTATCTCAGCGGCCTTGCCAGGTAGAGGAAGTTTGTCATTCCTCTTTGGTGCAGTTGGGCAAAGCCATTTCAGTCTCCTATGACTGTCTGTGACCCGTATACCGTTTTGGTTTTTTTTTTAATGTTTGTTTATTTTTGACAGAGCGCCCATGCGCATGAGTTGGGGAGGGACAGAGAGAGAGGGAGACACAGAATCTGAAACAGGCTCCAGGCTCTGAGCTGTCAGCACAGAGCCCAATGCGGGGCTCGAACTCACGGACAGTGAGATCATGACCTGAGCCAAAGTTGGACACTCAACCAACTGAGCCACCCATGTGTCCCCCTTATACCGTTTTGAATGGAGCAAGAGAGGTGGTGGCCTGTCTGACCTCCCAGTAGACCTACAAAGTTCCACAAAGGCAGGCCAGGTGTCACCTGGGGAAAGTGTCAGTCCTGATGCATGGAACAGCCCTCTTATCTTCCTGTTTAAGACACCAAGCTCAAGTTGAATAGACCTAGTCTTGAATCCTAGCTTAGCTATTTCCTGGCTAATGTGTCTAACTTCTCCGAGCCTTGATTTTCTCATCTCGTGGCTATAGTAATAGTATGGTTCTCATAGAGTTGTTGTGAAGGTTAAACATTAATTTGAAAAACATAATGTTATAAGTACAATTACAAGCATCAGCTCATTTGGTCTTTGCCACCCAACCAGGCAGTTACCATTTGTCAAGACAGGATTTCTTTCATAGATGCAGAAAGGGGGGCTCAGAGCAGTGAAATAACTTTCTAGGTGTTTAGGAATTAGTGGGGCAGGGACTTATATCTGGGACTAAACTGCAGGGTCCAAGCTCCTGTGCACTGTCCTGCCTCCCAGTTAAATGTGACAGTCCCAGCCAGCTGCTTGGTGTAGTACAGAATAGAGAGTAAGCAAGCACTGAGATGAGAACCGTTGTTTCTGAGATGTGAACAGTTAGGGCGTCTGGATGAGAACCTTTAAGACAGTTGGCAGAGGAGTATCCCGTGGCTTTAGGCGCTAGGGTGGGATTACACGTTGGTGTAAGCCTGAAAAGGGAAGCGTTCACCATAGTGTCAGGTGGTGCTTGTCTAAAATTTGCACTTTGGATTCTTTGTTTTCAGTAAATGATGGAAAAAAGCTTTAAGTTTCCCACCTTGTTCCTCCTCATGTGGAGAAAGGGCTTTTGCCTTTCCACCCCCAGTCAGTTAGGAGTTGTGACAAAGGCAGAAGAAATGCAGCCCCAGAGTTAGCCTGTTGTGTAGCTTAGCTCCTGCCCTCAGCAGCTGTCCTACAAAGTTTTTTCTTGCTCACAGATAAGACGTTGTCTGTGGCGATCGAAGGCAGTGTGGACGAAGCCAAGGCTCTATTTAAGCCTCCTGAAGACTCTCAAGGTAATGTGGTCGGGATCCTTCCCTACGTCTTCCATAGCTGGGTCCAGGGGCACCAGGTCAACACCTCAGGACAGTGCTGGTCCTTTGGAAATTATCTGTACTCATTCTGAGTAGCAGGGAGCTTGACTTTAATGTCTTAATGCTCAAGGGTAGACGGGGTAAAGCATTGGTTGTGGATTTTGGTCCTGCCACTCACTAGCTCACTGATCCTGGGAGAGTTCTTTAACATTTCTTTCTTTTTTTTTTTAATGTTTATTTATTTTTGAGACAGAGACAGAGCACGAGCAGGGGAGGGGCAGAGATAGGGAGACACACAATCTGAAGCAGGCTCCAGGCTCTGAGCTATCAGCACAGAGCCCGACATGGGGCCTGAACCCATGAACTGTGAGATCATGACCTGAGCCGAAGTCAGACACTTAACCAACTGAGCCACCCAGGAGCCCCCTCTTTAGCCTTTCTGAGCCTCAGTTTACTTACTTGTCAAAACAGGATAGTAATACCTCATGTAAAATTATTGTGTCGATTAAATGAGGTCATACATGCAAAGTTCTTAGCATCATTCTTGGCACATAGCAACCCCTCAAGTTGTATGAACTGCTACTGCTGTTGCTATTTATATTACTGTTACTACCACCACTACCAACAACGGGGGTGGGGCTTGTGGTCCATAGGATTGCATTAAAAAGCACCTTCAAAAATAGAGGCAGTTGGATTATGAGGCATTCCTCCTTTTTTTCTCGCATCACCATGTTTTCTATACTGAATTAGCAGCAGCAAATTAGTTTATCGTGTATTCTAAAGAAACCCATTTACAAATGACAGAGTCTCAGCCCCTTTAAGCCCCATGGGTTGAGGCACTTTAGGAGCATTGGGAAGCTCCTTACCTCCAGATGCTTTCTCTCTGTGGTTGCAGATGATGAGAGCGACTCCGATGCTGAAGAGGAGCAGACCACGGTGAGAGCCGTTTGCCCTCCTGAGTGTGTCAAGCAGCTGCACTGGGGCTGCTAGTTGGCAGGTGCCATCTTCCCTAGAAGCAGAAGAAAGAGGTGGGAAAGAAAGAGCTGCTGGGGTCTGGCAGCTGGATAGCTGAAGCAGCAGGTTCCAGCCAGCGGGGCTGAGGCCCTGGCCAGTAGGGAGAAGGAAGGGGCAAATTCGTATGACCAATGCTCATCTGATTTGATCTTTCCTTTGTCCAGAAACGCCGGCGACCCACACTGGGAGTTCAGTTGGATGACAAGCGCAAGGAGATGCTGAAGAGGCACCCGCTATCTGTCATGCTGGACCTGAAGTGCAAAGGTCTGGCTCCCTTTGTTCTGGAGGATCCATAGCATTTGAGGCTTTTGCTAGCTGCAGGTGCACAAGGTTCAGCAAGGCAAAGTCCTGTTTGACCAAGAAAAGATTCTGGTTTCATATTTCTTTGTTTTTCATCATTGTTTTGCATGGAGTTTGATTTTTTGTCTCTAAGTCATAAGCATAACAACAGAGACGAAACTAGACACATAAGGGATGCTTGATAAAATTATACCAATTTCTGAATTGACTAAGTCAGATACACAGAACAAGTCACAAGAGTGTGCAGGATTCGAGTACTATGACCAGTGTGCTTAATCTCATACACATAAGTAGAAGTTTGTGTTCTGCAGAGAATGATTTGAAACTGGTTTTGTATGGATAAAGCAATATACACAGTATAAGAGCTAACTGTCACATGTAAGTTTCCCTCTCACCTGAGACTCCAGTCCTCGGTCTTACCTCCAAGGTCTTACCTCTTGGTGACAGATTTCTTACGTATTTTCTAGAACTATTCTATGTATTTAGAAGCTTTTATGCAAGTGTATATTTATCCCCTTCTCCTTTTAGTTTTTACACAAATGGAAACATACTCTACACACTTCACCTTTTTTTTAAAACTTGTTATTTTGAGATAATTTTAGACTCAGAAGAGTTGCCGTAATAATAGACTTCTCATGCTCTTCACTCAACTTCCCATAATGTCAGCGTCTTACTTAAGCATAGTACAGTGATCAAAACCAATGTTAATTTTATTGGTACAATTAACTAAACCACAGAATTTATGCAGATTTCCTTTTTTTTTCCACTAATGTCCTTTGTCCATTTTAGGATCCAGTCCAGGATCTCACATGACATTTAGTTGCCATGCCTCTTAGTCTCCTGCAGCCAGGACAGTCTTCTCCTCCTCAGTCTTCGCTTATCTTTCATGACCTTGACATCTTTGAAGACCAGGTTTATTTACTATGTGGAAAAACTCAATTTGGCTTTGTCTGTGTTTTCTCCTTATCAGACTGAGCTTATGGGTTTGGGGGAAGAATACCATAGACATGGGTTCATCATCCCATCATATCAGAGGTACATGGTGTCACTGGTACTAACCTGGATCCACTTGGTGATCACTTGATTGCTCCCTTTCGATATTTTACTTTTTAGAAACAGCTAAGTCCAGCCCACACTCAAGGGGAGGGAAATGAATCTCCCCCTCTTGGAGAGAGGAGTTGCAAAGAATTTGTAGACATTTTTTATTCAATATAAAATTGCCATTGAGTTTGTTTTTACAGTAAAAGCTCTTAAAAGCCTCGCTTTTACAGTTCCATAATACTGTAGACTCTGCTCTCATGTTCGACTTGTACATGGTCTTCTTTTCATCCTCCCCCTCCAGATGACAGTGTGCTTCACCTGACCTTCTACTACCTCATGAACCTCAACATCATGACGGTAAAGGCCAAAGTGACAACCGCCACGGAGCTGATCACCCCCATCAGTGCAGGGTACTGGGCAGGCGCTGTGGAGAGTGGGGCATGGGGGTGGGTGTGAGGAGAGCCTCTCTGCGGGCTGCTTTTGGTTCCTCGCGCACACTGGCTCTGAGGAGGTGCACTGCTCCGTTGACTTCTGTTGTCATGTCCACGTCTGGAAGTCCTGGCACCTCACTGGTATTTAGAAAGCACTTGCTGACTTAAGTTGGTCCTCTTACTACACAGCAGATGATAAAATGACTACAATGTATGGAAAATTGAGTAGGCAGGGCAGAGCAGCAGCTTGTTCTGACAAGTGGAAAGGTGTGAATGTAGAAACGGAATTTGGCAGACATGATGAGGTTGACAAATTTAGGCCTTCATTTACTCTTTCCCAAGGTGCTGGGACTTTTGCTTCATAGCCCAGCTCAATCCCAGGTTGTCCTTACCTGGCAGCAGGAAGAGGTTTTGAGGAGGGTGAGTGGAGGCATGGTAATGATGGCCACAGGTTCGGCATCCCCAGGAAGCGCCTGGCTGTGGCAGTCTTGTTCCACAGCTAGGAGTGGGAAGAAAGGAAAAGGGCCAAGAGGGACTGAAATAGCCTCACAGGAGCACTACCCTGGCCTGGTACTCCTGCACACTTGAGTCTTTGGGTTAGCTATACAGAGACCACTGAGGGAGACACACAAGTCTGGTGCCTGGTGGGGTGGGGCTCTTCCCATGGCTGCCTGGTGTCCCTGTGTTCTCTACCCCAGTCCATGCCCCCTTCAGGCCGCAGCCTTGGTCCCTGGACTCAAGAGTTATTTGATCATGCTAGGGCACTCTGGATGAAACTGACCCTATTCTCACCTGACCCCAGCAGAGGGAGCCCAGGGCTTGCTTCTTCAGAGTGCCCGGTTACACTGCCTGGCCAGAGCTCTCAGTCTAGCAGCTTGCGGGCCCTGGCCATGGTGGAGTTCCTTGTCACCAGCATTCTGCCTGCTCTCCTCTCAGATGCCAAACCTACTAAGAAGAGGGCTGCCAGCTGGCCTCAGTGCATACTTAACTCCAGCTTCTCCCTAAGCTTTGCGCATGCAAGTACTGGAGACAGTACTGCTGAGTGGATACCAGCTGGGCTCAGAGCTCCAGTGTTTCCCGGGTCTGCCACTTATACCTGTGTGTGCACCTTTAGCCAAGTTTCCTGGCTTCTGAGGCTGGTTCCTCACTCTGGTCATGAATTATAATATACACTTCCAGGGTGTTTATGAAGGATCAGGTCTAGTGCTTAGCATAGGTGAAGCACTTGGTAATGACAGCTGGTAATGTCACACTTGGTAATGTGTTTGTCATCATGAATTTGCTTAACTCTTCACAATAGTTTTACAAGGGGAGGAAACTACGACTATCATCGATAGATGGTCCGTGGCCCCAAAAGAGGGAGGGGATACAAAAGGAAGCACCGCCCTGAAACCAGGATTGTATCTTTATGGGCCTTCAGGTGTTGTCTAGCTCATCCCCCTATTTTTCAGATGGAGAAACTGAGGTCCAGGAGGCATCTGACCAGTTGTGGAAGCTCTGGGCCTAGAGTTTCAAACTGCCAGCTCAGAGGCCTTTGCTTAAGTACAGGCTGCTTTGGCCCCTGGAGATACCAGCCTGGTGTATGATTCTATTTATTCATCTACTATAACACAAGGATACTTTTTTTTCTCCCTGATATAATCACAGTCTCACACTAATTCCTTAATATCATTCAATATCCATTCAGAGTTCAAATTTCACTGATTTTCTCTTAGTGTTTTTTGTTAGTTGTTTTTATAGTTTGGGTTTTGAATCTGGATCTTTATAAGGTCCACATGTTGCAATTGGGTGAAGCTTCTCTCAAGCATCTTTTCATCTGAATGTCCCTGCCATCTGTTTGTCAAAGAGAATGGGTTGTTTGTAGGTTTCCCCAGTCTGGATTTTGATGATTGCATCCTTGCATTAGAATTTAGTGAGTTATGGGGCGCCTGGGTGGCGCAGTCGGTTAAGCGTCCGACTTCAGCCAGGTCACGATCTCGCGGTCTGTGAGTTCGAGCCCCGCGTCAGGCTCTGGGCTGATGGCTCAGAGCCTGGAGCCTGTTTCCGGTTCTGTGTCTCCCTCTCTCTCTGCCCCTTCCCCGTTCATGCTCTGTCTCTCTCTGTCCCCAAAAAATAAATAAACGTTGAAAAAAAAAATTAAAAAAAAAAATAATTTAGTGAGTTACTACCTTCCTGGGTATTTCATGTTAATTATAGTTAGGTTTAGAGGCTTGGTGAGATTCCACTTTGATTTTTTTGCAGGAGGGATGAGGGAGCAGGATGGTATAAATGTTGAGTGCTTCCATCAGGAGGCACAGGCTGTCTTTATTTTTGTGGAGTTAGCAGCACTGATGACTGTTGCCAGGATCTATTAATTCGTTAGGAAATTGATGTTCTTCATACAAACATTTTAACATTTAACCAGCCATGCTGAATTTTCTTCAAGAAATTATTTTACAGAATGATCTCCATTAGGACATTTTGAGTCACTACTAATCAGTTTTTCATTAAGTCATTAAACTATTTTTAATGATTTTCCACTTTTACTTACCAAATTCTTAATCCCTTTTTAGCTATTATTATTTTACAACAAAGATTTGACTGAATAGTTTTTTGGTGTTGTGTTTTTATGACTGTATATAATCTCTCCTTTTATGTCCATTATCTTCACCAAATTCGGTTGTCCTGAACCACGTTACCGATGCAAATTTTTCAAGATTTGATTCTTTCATTAGGTTTTGTTAATTAGAAACCGTTATTGTGGAGTTTTAGCTGTTCTGTTTATTTTTGTTGACTCCTGATTCATTCTATTTATTAGTAATAGTCACTAAATAATATTGGCCAAACGACCGACAATTCTTATTTCTAGCCAGTTCTCCATGAAAGGCAGTGAGGTGGGGCAGAGACTCTGGGAGAGACAGGAAACCAGGAAGAGTCAAAGCTGCCACCGCCCCACTGCTAAATTCTTAAAGTCATGCCTGGGCTCTGAGCAGTAAGATTAGCCCATTCTGCCTGAGTTGCTCCTGATGCCAGACCTGGAAGATGAAGGAGAACCCCTGCTGGTTGAGAGAAAGACTGAGCCTTGTCCTTTGTGATCAGATTACTCCATTATCCTCTTCCTCTCCCCTCCCCTCTCCATCCCTTCTCCACTTGTCAGCATTTAATTACAGGCTGTGCCCTAACCATTCCAGATGGGTGGCGGTGATGCTGTCTCTCTGCTTATAGCCCTGGGTCACCTTGTGTCCAGCGCATGTGATAATGTCTTTTCCTCAGAACATAAAGGGGACCTTTTCTGTGAGAGGCATGAGATTTGGTCAAAGTGAGATAGACACACCATTAAAGCTGTTTACTTGCTCTTTGGGGGTAGAAAGGAATCTCTTCTGCTGTTATGAAAATTGTGATTATTTTATCTCCAGTGTCACAGAGCTTTGCTCCCCTGAAGGTAAGGCCTTGGTCACCATATACCTCTCTTAAAGGGATAGGGTTTTCAAAAAATTTAGTGTGTAGGAGTACTACTGTCTTTGATCAGACAGTGCAAATCCCTACTCTAGCACTTATTAGTAGTGTGATCTTAGACAAGCCATATCTTTCAAAGCCTGAATTTCTTCTCTGTAAAATGGAAATGGTCATACCTCATAGAGTGTGAGATCTGGTGACCTCAAGTATAAAGAGTTATGGTCTGTCCTCCCTCCACTGTCCTGGCCCACAGGAAGCATTCAGTAAATGGTAGCATGATCATTAGTGATAGGTGGCATTACTATCCCCAGATGCCCAAGTCTGCCTCAAGGCAAGGCATTGGCTAGTGTTTTCACTGCGGTCTTATCCCTTTTCCAGTGACTTGCTGTCTCCTGACTCAGTCCTGAGCTGTTTGTATCCAGGGGATCATGGAAAGAAGACTCCGAATCCAGCCAATCAGTATCAGTTTGATAAAGTTGGGTGAGTCAGCAGTGTTTCCTCCTTTCCCAGTCTCTTTGCTTTGGAGTTTCTCTGGCAGCTCAAGCCCAGCATTAAAGACCTGTTAGGGTCAGAGGCCTATCAGGGGGCAAGGGAGACCCTGGAGCTTGAGGGAGTGCTATGTCAAAAGAAGGGAACACAAGGGGCACATGGAATAGTGAGGAAGGGTGGAAGGATGAAACTTGGAGGACATGATAAGAACACATGAGAGGATAACATTGTTTAACATTCAATTCTCTGAGGATTAAAAACCTGAAAAATATTTTATAAATTGGTGGACTGGTGAAGAAATCAAAGGCATTGACTTTATATTGAGACTTGAGACTTGCTTATGAGCTGGGGGGAAGAGAAAAGGGAACATGGGAGAGGTGAAATTCACAGTAGGAAGGTGATGAAGTTTAGAGACTTTGCTGGCAGCCGGGCTGTGAGTGTGGCCTAGCCTGTGAGACCATCCATTTCAGGGGCATGGGAGGAAGGCTGTATCCTGGGACCACTGCAGAAAGGACTTATAAAATCATTTATGCTGTGTTCTTTTCTGCAGCATCCTGACTTTGAGAGACTACGTACTTGACCTAGGTCACCCCTATTTGTGGGTACAGAAGCTAGGTGGCCTCCACTTCCCCAAAGAGCAGCCCCAGGTGTGTACACTGTGGATCCAGTCTCCTTGGCTAAGGATCTCTACTTCCTCACCCCCCAGACAGACTCCAGAAAGGCTTTGGATGGCCTTTGAGGGCTTTGAAGTATCAGAATGCTTTTCCTTGGGGCTATGGTCTGTCCTCCCTCCACTCAGGATACTAAAAATGTCTGAGGCCCACAAATGTATAGGTACCTTTGGTTCTCCCTGAGCCTGGTAGCCCTCGAGATGAAAGTAACTTGAGTCCTTGCTCTGGGTGCTACATGACTCCAGGCTCCACCGCCCCTTAGTCTGGTGTACAAAGGTGCCAAAAATGAGGCATCACCAGAACCCCAAGGGATCTGGCGTCTGGCACCTTAGCAGAAGCCTTCCTTTCTCAGGAGCTGGCCAGGCCTCTTGAGATTCCAGCATCCTGTATTCCTACTGGAACTCAGCATCTGGCCTGTCACAGCAGGTGAACCCTGCCATTCCCATAAGGTGCCCACCTCAGGGTGTGTGTGGTCCTGGCTGCCATTGGCAAGGAGGGCCTAGGAGAGGCAATGCCTGGAGACAACAAGGACAGGGGGCACTCAGGGTGCTTCTCGCTGTCGTCTACAGCACACGGTGATTGCTGACCACTCGCTGAGCGCCAGCCACATGGAGACCACCATGAAACTGCTGAAGACCAGGGTTCAATCCCGCCTGGCCCTCCACAAACAGTTTGCATCCCTGGGTAAGCTGATGTGTGGCTGTGGCTTAAGGCCTATTTGGACAACACAGGGACAAAGATGACTTAGTCCTTCACTCAGGTTTCTTAAATCCTGATGACACTGCCTGGCTCTTGCTGAGCAGAGGTGTTGGCAGGACCTCTGGGGAGAGCTACAGGTCCATCCAGGCAGGGATCTTAGCTCCCCTCAGGACTATCAGGGCTGTCCCAGCTCACAAAAGAGACCCAAAGCCTCCTGGGTGGTCCAGGTTAGTGGACTGGTCAGGAACAACTTACTGTAGGTTAGCGCATGTCAGATTTGGGTGTACATTCCAACAGATATTTAGTAGAAATCCATTCATGCTTTGTAGAGCTTACATTTAGCTTATTTGATACAGCTATCCAGGGATCCACCCCCTCATACCTCCCTTGAGACTGACTGAGCTAACATCCTCCAGGGTGAGGATGAACCCCAGTGTTATTCATAAGCTCCCAGGTGATTCTGAGCCATTGAGCTAACGAGCCATTGACCAAGGTGGTGGCCATATTGGTGTTCCTTTTCGTTTACTCATTCAGTAAATACTTGTTGAGGACTTACCATGTATAAGGCACTTGAGGGGAAGTGAGGGTTGATATCTTTCTGACTGAAAAGAATCACTGTCAGGAAAGGCATTAGGTTTCCAGGACCCATCTGGAGTCCTTACCCATCTGGGGCAGTTCTTGTATTCCACATGGACCCTGATCCCTGCAGGGCAGCATTGTTTGTGGGTTTCTTCCCCATCACCATTGCTAAAGTTGTTTTGTCCCAAGGTTGGATGATTGTCATCCTAGACAGCATTTACTGTGTTGGCATATTTGTGGATTGAAACACCAGCAGGAATTTGCCCTGGAGCAGTTCTCTAACTCTTCTCCCTTAGAGAAACTGACACAGAACACTTCAGTCATTTTCTCCATCAAGGTCAGCTGTGAGAAAACAGCCCTCTTGGCTATTTGATCTAATTAACAGTCACTGCTGCAGAGGCACCATCACTGCTTCTGGCTGCCAGGGGGTTTTTATTTTGCTGGCCATCATTTGCATTAAAGATAAAGCACCATGAATGCTGGTGCTAGGTCCAGCCACAAGCACATAGCAGGGGTGAAGGTCAGGTTGGTGTGCCTGGATTCCTAGCACATGTTGTTGACCAGGGAACCTACTGAATGCTTCATGTATCTGGAGAGCTGGCAGGGCCACCTGAGCCCTCCAGATGATCCTAGTTACCCAGCTGTGGCATCTGATTTCTACCTGTAATACCACCTCACTTGCTCTCTTTTAGAACATGGCATTGTACCAGTTACCAGTGATTGCCAGTACCTCTTTCCTGCAAAGGTTGTCTCCCGCCTGGTAAAGTGGGTGACAATTGCCCATGAGGATTACATGGTAAGTGGAGGAGTGACATGTCACCCTTGCTGTCCCAAAGACACATATCATCTTTCAGCTCCTGCCCTTCCCCTAGAAGGGCAAGGGATTTGACTGGAGGATCCAGGAATTCCCTCCTCTGTGGTGACTTCTAGGAGCTGCATTTCACCAAGGACATTGTGGAGGCGGGACTGGCTGAGGACACCAATCTTTACTACATGGCACTCGTGGAAAGGGGCACAGGTAATTGCTCTTCTGATTACAGTGGTAGGCCGGGGAGCTAATAAGAATAAAACATTCCTGAAGGTTGCCCAAAGAAAGCAAAAGATCCTAGAATCTTGCTGGGGTGACTTAGCAAATAGTAGTAATGATTGTAAGAGCCACCATTCAGTGAGGACTTGTTCTATAACACAGCCACATACATGTTTTATCTCATTTAATCCTCATGACTGGGAGTGGTAATGCAAGTACCCCTGCTTTCCTAAAATTTGCATTCCACCACTTTGCTTTTGCACAAAACCTACATTAGTGCTGTTTTCGCTAACTGAAAGAAAGGAGGATGTTCACCTTTGCAAGAAAAACCATTACTGTACTAATGTAGGTCTTGTGTAAAAGTAAAGTGGCATTAATGCTCGAAAAGTTAAGTGGGCGATGCTCCTCTCCTTATGCCATTTTGACTTACGGAAGGTTTCATAGGAACACTGTACTTTTGGATAGCAGGGGAAACCCGTATTCCCATTTTATAGGTGAGGAAATTGAGGCTTTGTCACAAATGCAATCTGAGCCTGAGCACTTAGCCCTTTGCTTTACTGTTCTCTAAAAGCAGATACCTGTTCTTCCTCCTCTTTACAGAAGGGCCAACAAACCACTCTCAGTTTGTGAAGTGCAGGGTAGTAGGACCTTCCTCCCTGTCTGCTGTTCTGTACTCACTTTGGAGGCATCAAAAGCTGTGATTCCTCACGGCTGTCCTGGAGTCTAATTGGCCACAGCTTTCTGTGGAGCCACCTGGGTGCTGCCTGTGGAGCTGTTTTCTAGCTCCTGCCTCGGCAAACCTGCCGCTGCCCGCGGAATCTGACCCCTGGGGCTCGGTGCTGTAGCTGCAGAGCTCAGGGGGTTGGTTGTCTGTGGGTCTAAGTGCGAGAAATACAAGGAAAGGTTGCACTCTGTGATATTAGAGTTTCTCTACCTTGGTTTCTTGCCTTTTGTATGTTTTAAAAATATCCTGAGTAAATTAAATATTTTAGATACTATTGAGGTCCCCAGGGCACTTCATGCTTTCATTCTCTCCCTCAACAATTGGTGACTCCTATTTGGAATTTGTACATTTGCTTCCCATCCTTTTCACTTTCAAAAATCACTTTTGTCTCATCCCTAAATAACACAGAATACTGTTTTGAAAAGGCACAAATATGTAGTCCAAGAAATTTATAAAGCCCCAAGAGGGGGAAGTCACTAGAAGACATCACTCTGCTTCCTGGTTGACCAGGTGAAAACTTATGTAGGTAGTAAGTGTTCTAGATCCATAACAGAGTGAATGTGATAACTAAAATTTTCATAAGATGCATTGCAGAATTTGAAAATTTAAGAGTGAAATTTAAATAAGTGCACAGCAATTATAGAAAAATATTTTCTCCATAGGATGACGTTCACTTTTACCACCAATGCACTGTGTATATGTGTGTGTGTGTGTGTGTGTGTGTGTGTGTATGTATACGTATACATATACATACGTATACACATACACACTCACATATATGCATATACACATATACACAGAGACACATGAATAATCCTTTATTTTACAACAGATCAGTTTGAAAATTTTACATAGTATGGGTTAAAAACAAAACTTAACTGAATAGAGATAAATCCAGAAATATATGCCAACTGTTAGGACAGAAGCAATACAGCAGAGAAAGGACTCACTTTTTAATAAATGTGGTCGCAGCTGTCAGGGAAGAATTGTCTTAACCTCCACTCTCTTGTCCTCTGTTATTTGAATTACTGGTGTGTCATAGTTCTTTTTACCCCCCCATAAATAATGAGAAAGGAATGGCATATCTAGCGCATTCGTGGTAAAAGTGAATGTCATCCTATGGAGAAAAGCAAAGGCTGCCGCCAGAGAAAAAATGAGTATGTTAAAAAATACAACTGTTTCCTATAAGGACTATGAACACAGCTTTGATATCAGACAGTTGTAGTTGAACTCAGCACTGCTGCTTTGCAACTGTTTGATCTTAAGGAAGTGTCTATGAGAGCCTCAGTTTCTTTATAGGTAAAATGGAGATGATAATAACGGTACCCATCTCATACAGTCATTGGTAGGTTGAAATAAACCTGAAGTAAAATGTATATAAAGGGCTTAGCACAGTACTTGGAATACAGTAAGTACTCCGTAAATGTTGGGTATTAAAAAGTTTCACATAACAAAATACACAAAAAGAAAACAATAGAGAAAATATGTTGATGTAACAGCTAATACACAATATTGTTAGAAAAAAACAGTAAGCCTTCATGTGGGAAAATCCTTAACTTGTGGGCAAAGAAAGAAATGCCAGTTAAACTTCTGTCAAAGGAGCAAATATAACACTTGGGCAGACCCAGTGTGGACCAGATCCTGGAGAGTCCACACACCTCTGCATCCTTAGAGGGACCAGAGTCACAGGACTTCACATTCTGCAGCCTGGCAATTCTATTTCAGAGATTATAGAACAAAAACAAAAGACCAGAATGTTCTGTGCAGTACTCGGATTAATGTAAGACAAAGATCCAATGGGGAGGGTCCGTGGCTGGCAAGCTGGGTCTCAGAACTGATTTTTCCTCCTTCCCCCTCCCTTCCCAGCCAAACTCCAAGCTGCCGTGGTGCTGAACCCTGGCTACTCCTCCATCCCACCCATTTTCCAGCTGTGTCTGAACTGGAAAGGAGAGAAAACCAATAGCAACGATGACAACATTCGGGTAAGGCTCTGATGGGGGGTAACGGGAGGAGTGGGGAGAGCCTCCTTGGTGAGATGGGAGGTGGCAGAACCTACTGCAGCTGAAAGCTTGCCCACTGGCGTGATCCTAGGGACAGAGGGACCTGCCAGGATTTGTAGAATTTGCTGGAGTCTGTGTGGTATATATAGTAGAAGAAAAAGCCTAGACCCATCTTAACAACTTACCTAGTTTGGGGTCACCCCATTTTAAAATGGAGATAATATAAATACTTGCTTTGAAAAGTAGTTGTCTTGGGCTTCTGTAGAATTGTGAACAAACTCGGGAGCACAGACATGGTGGGATGAGATGGTGTATAAGATCATTGCAGCTATTAATTATTAATTTATTCTGTTGATTTGATGCTGTAGTGGTCTTCTGGCCGTGGATCATGCTTTTAACCCTAATACTTTCTGACTTAGATCTTATCTTGAGATTTCTTCTTTACATGCCTCCATCTTTTTGGCTGTGCAAGTATTGGGCAGGAAAAAGTTATGGGTCAGAATCAGGAAGACCCTGTTGTCCTGAGGACAAGCCCGTCTTGCCTGAGATGGTGTGACCCAGCTCCTGCAGAGGCCCGGCTGTGGTTCTTGTGGAGGTGCCAGACCCACTCAGTCTGAAGGTAGTGCTAGGTTCCTGGCTCTCCCACTCCTTAGGCCATGGAGAGCGAGGTCAACGTGTGCTACAAGGAGCTCTGTGGCCCCCGACCCAGCCATCAGCTCTTGACCAACCAGCTGCAGCGCCTGTGTGTGCTGCTGGACGTCTACCTGGAGACGGAGAGCCACGACGACAGCGTGGAGGGGCCCAAGGAATTTCCCCAAGAGAAGATGTGTCTGCGGCTTTTCAGGTGAGGGGAGGGGTGGGAGCGCTGGGGCTCTGGGTGCCTTCAGCCCTGCCTCTCTCAGGGATTTGGGGCAGAGATCAAAGCCTGGCATGGAGGGTGTGTGTGTTCCCAGGTGTGCTTGTCTGTGTTCACAGTGGAAATTAAAATTCCATAGCTGGATTTTCTGGAGAGAGCTTGCTCCCTCCTTGCTGAAACTTTCCCTGCAGCCCACTTCTACCATCCTGGCCCAGTTGTTCTTCACAAGCACCCCCTGAAGGTGGGCCACCCACTAAGTGAGCAGCACCAGACCACAGACCAAGAAGATGTAGCTGAACTTCCTGTGCTTTTTCTGGAAAACAACAGGGTTTGCTTTTCTCTGTCCAAATAAGCTTTTTAAACTACATATAGCCCCAGCAGTCCCAGGGTATGCCCTACTCTTCCTGGGGTGCTCACAAGTCTGCCACAACCACAGCTTTAGGCAGTCGGGCATCGTGGAAGGAACCAGCTCTGAAATACCATAAACATAAGTGCAAATCTCTGCTTTGTTCCTCACCAGCTGTGTGACCTTGGTAGAGTCACTTTAGCTCTGGGCCTATTTCCTAAAGGCTGAAAGGCTGAAGTAGAAGTATACAGTCTGGCTCATGAGGAATTAGAGATAAATTATGTCAGCTATGAGAATGATTCCTGGCACAGACGGGGGCTCACAAAATGCTGTTAGGTCCTGACATCTTGGTGTTTAGCCTGTCTGTGCTCATGGCACTTCTAGCCAATGTTCCATTTCACTTTTGTCAGGTCCTTTCTCTCCCTTCCATCCCCCTAACTCATGTTCTTGTTCTTAAAAGAGTCAGTTTCAAAACTCCAGAGTCCACACTATTCAGGTATCCTCTCCCTTTTGAGCAAGCAGCTGGGGAGAAATGGTGTCTGGGAGAGGGGAAGGGCACATCCCCCCTATTCCCTGTCGGTCTAAAGGTGCCTTAACTGCCCGTCACCTTCTCTCAGATAGCCAGTGCCAGCCCCTGGAAGCTGTGCCAGCATCCTCCCGCCTCCATCTGGCACTTCCACCTGGCCTGGTTCTTCATGTTACCTGGTAATAACCAGTTCCAGCCCCCAAGTGGCTGCTGGGAGGCGGAGCAGTGACTAGGTGTTGGTGGCTTCTAGGACTTACTCTCCCTGGTGGGTCTGTGTGAGAACTCAGTTCTTCCCACCTTCTCAGTCTGCTGTAACACATTTTCAGGGTGGAAGCTCTCACACGGTCGGTGTTTATTTTCTATTATCTAATGGTTCCCAAAGGATCTGTTTCCTGAAGTGCTTTTGTCACCCAGGCTGAGCTCCTCTGTCAGGGCATGCTGGGAAGGTACTCCTTTGGCTACTCAGATCCAATTAACTCCATGATTGGTGAGATGTGAGTTTCTTGGCCTGGAGTCCAGCTGACCACTGGGATCAGGCCAAGGGGCTGGGCTGCAAAGCGCTGGCCTGGCAGCAGGGGCCCGAGGTCTGGTCCTGCCTGTGGCTGGCTACTTTCAGCCTGTGGGTTCTCCATTAGCCACATGCCTAGACTCATCCAGGTGACTCTGTGCCCCTCTGGTGTTGGGAGGTATCTGTCATTGTGGTTATGAGCAAGGGCTTCAGGGCCAGAAAGATGTAGGTTCAAGTAGCAGCTCCTTCCTGTGTGGGGAGGTCTACATGTAGCCCCGTGAGCTTCAGGTTCCTCATCAGTAAAACAGCATCTCAGGTATTGATGATACCTGATTGATGATTGAGATACCAACCTCAGGTATTGTTGGGAGGATGAAATTAAACCAGATGTAGCTTGTAAATTGCCGAATATGATGTACGCAGAGTAAGCCCTCACGTAAATAAGTGGTTGCATTAGTGTTGGAATAAATATCTTCTTTCTCCTCATCTCTACCATCACATAGACACACACCCCTCCTTCAGACTGGGATCCGGGATCCTTTCTAGTTACCATTGAATGTCAGTCATAGGTAGACAAACAAAAGAGGCCCTGTAGCTGGACATCACTCACTGGAGTTGTGCAGCTTGGGGGCCCTGTGTGTTTGGCCTGGGGGCCCAGAATTATAGCCGAAGCACCTTAGCTTTATAGCACTGGGGGCTTTGGCCATGGCTGTCAGTCGGCCTCTGGCCAGTAGGCTTTGGTGTCAGACCTGGTTTTGAATTTGGGTTGTGTACTTTCTGACCATAAAATCTCAGGCATTTTACCTTCCCGAGCCTGTTTCTTCATCTGTAAAACCTATAAAATGGTGGAAACAGCACCGGAGAGTAGTGAGTATAAAGCACATAGCTCTTTGCAGGCACTTAGTGCAGATTCTTTTCACTCCCAGACTCCTGCCTACATGGGACTCTCCTTGCAAAGGAGGATTTTAAGGTTTTCTCCTTTATTTTTCTTATTACAGAAATAAAATACGTTTCTTGTTAAACATGCAGACGATAACAAGTAGTTCTGTAAAAATACTAAAAAGTGAGGGTACCCAAGCCCTGTGCCTGTTGTCAGTGTGGGTCCTTCCAGGTTTGTGTTCATGCATTTGCAGGCATTTATGTTTTACAGTCTGTGTTTCTCACAGTGTTCCTTTTCCCCCCAACAGCTGCATAGTTTTCCCTTGCGTGGATGAATTATAATTTATTTTTTCAGCCCAGAGGGTATGGTGTTAACTGATCTCCCATCTCCTGTTTCTCTAGGGGTCCCAGCAGGATGAAGCCATTTAAATATAACCACCCTCAAGGATTCTTCAGCCATCGCTGACCTCCCACTCAGCCTGCTGTTTCTCCCTAGGCCCTAAGTGCTGTGCCTCTGCTTTCTGTTCTGGCCCACAGGTGGCTCTTGATATTCTCCAAAGACAGATTTTTTTATTTCTAGCCTATTAAAGTGTCACTTGACCAAGTAGACTTTGTCTTGTGGTTCCCTGGGATGGAGGGAGGCAGGTTTGCAGTCTGGAAGGGCAGTTGGGGGCCATGGCATGGTGTGAAAGAGCTTTCGCACCTACGCTTTCCCTAGGTGGCCAAGAAAAGCAGAGTGCAGAAGATTCTGGTTCTATCAAAGCATGCTGCCCTCTTGTCCCCACTCACCTTTCTTGTTCCTGCTTTGGACAATTATCTTGTTTGTTACCCCAGGTCCCTGCTCTTAGGAGGTGGCTGGGGAAGGCCAAGTCAGCATAGCACAAAAAGCAAAAGCTCTTTTCTCCCTCCACTAACTTTGTCAGTGCCTCCAATGGCCATTCTCTCCGTTGGATGTTATAAACATGTGAAAGTATAGCACACATAGAAGACCAATACAAGGAATAATTGTACATATTGCCAGATTTCCTGAAGTTGATGAAGATGGTGTTGGGGAGCCTCATGCAGAGCTATCATCTAGTGAGGCTCTGGCAGAGTGAGACCGGGTGACATCTGAGGAGAATATTCATGATGCTGACATGATAGGTGCCTCAAGAAATAACAGCTTGACTCTCAAAGAATTAAGAGAAGTCCTAGGGAAATAGGTAAAACCCTCTTAAATGTTTGCAAAGCGATCTCTTTTATAATTCTGTAAAAATCAAAGTGAAGGATGGCATGAAGTGTTCTTGGATAATTTTGTCAGGAAAATTATTCCCCATTCCCTCAAAAAAAATCCATATTCAATTCATTATTTAAGAAATAAGATAGAAAGATGGAGCTAAGAATTATCACATACTTGGGACACCTGGCTGGCTCATTTTGGAAGAGCATGCAGCTCTTGATCTCGTCATGAGTTCAAGCCCCACGTTGGGTGTAGAGATTACTAAAGAAATAAACTAAAAAAAAAAAAAAATTATATACTTGCAAGTATAATCTATAAAGCTTTTCAACTGCAAGATGAATATCTACTCTTGTATCAACTTTTAATATACATCAATTTTATTTTTTGTGACAGTCCCAGTCATGAGGCTTTTTTCTTGGGTCTCCTGGGTGGCTCAGTCAGTTTAGAGTCCAACTTGATCTCTGCTTGGGTCGTGATCCCAGGGGGTCGTGGGATCAAGCCCTACGTCGGGCTCCACACTGAGCTTGGGGCCTGATTGGGCTTCTCTCTCTCTCACCCTCTCTGCCCCTTTCCCTGCTTGTGCCTTCTCTCTCTCTCTGTCTCTCTCTCTCTCTCTCTCTAAAAAAATAAATTTTTTAAAAAGTGGCTTTTTTCTCCCAGAACATACTTTGAACTTTGTTCCCTATCATGCATCTATTCACTCGGTGGACTAAATATCCTTGGATAACATGGGTCTCTGGTATAAAAGCTGTTTCCTCCTGTCTTGGCTGATCACAGAGCATCCCAGTAATAAGGATTTCCTGAGAAAGAACCAGGAGACTCCTGGCCTTCCCAGGGCCCTTCATTTTACAGATGGAGGCCTGAGCCCTTGAAGAAAGGAGAATGTCCTCTCTGGTGGCTAAATGACCACCACCACCTGTGCCTCTCCTTTCCCTCAGCCTGCATCATTCTTTTGAATTCAAAGGTAGATACTCTTCTGCCCAGAGGCCCTCAAACATAAGTGTGTGTGAGTCCCCCATCCCAAGAGGGCGTTAGAAAAACAGATTCCCATGCCTCCCGCTAATATTCGGACTCTGTTGACCTAAGATGGGCCCAGGAAGTGTATTTTTAACAAACTCCCCAGGTGCACGTTGCCCTAGTCTCTTTTTGGAAGTAGCTGTACTTCCTTCCCGTCCCTCATTTTTCTTGGTGACTCCTCATATAATGTAGGAAGGCCCGATTTTCTGCAATCAGCTCCCCCTCTTCTGTCTTCCGTACCGTGGGCAGCAGAGTGAACCTCCCTCCGTGTGCTGCTTTCTCTCCACATAGATCTCCTTGTCATTTCCCTGACCTACTTGCCTGGACCCTGTCCCTGCCGGCATCCCCTTGGTCTGGACACCTTCAGGCCCTGCATCTCACCGCCTGTGCTGAATGAGATTGAAATGGGGCCTAAAAATAGTTCCTTTAATGGCCCCTGCATTGCAGCCTCCACTGTTCTTGGCTGGAAGGCAGCCAAACTGACTCAGCACAAAAGCTGGTCTCCAGTAGCTGGGACAAGGTTGCAAAGAATGTGAGCACAGGGGAAAGGCTCTACTTCCCCGGGGCGGATGTCAGAACCTGTCGCCCTCCAGAAGAGATTTTCCCTCTTCAAAGGAGCTGGCTGAACAAAAGAATCCTTTGGCTGTAAGGAGAAGTATTTTAAAGCTAGTGACAAGCTCAGGACAGTCCAGCCCCTTTGAGGTACTTGACAGCCATATGTGCTTCCAGTCAGCAGTTAGGGGAAGGGCCTGGCTTGGAAGGACCTCAAAGCTTTCCCCTCAACCAGAATTGTCCTTGGCCTTTCCTGGAGCACCTCCCAGACAGTAGTCCCTCTCTGTCATCCTCCCATACCTGGGACTCAGCCTAGGTTCCTTACCTTTTTATTTATTTTTAGTTTTTTAAAAAGTAATCTCTGTGCCCAACATGGGGCTCAAATTCAAGACTCCGGGATCAAGAGTCGCATGCTCTACCGACAGCCAGCCAGGTGCCCCTCCTTGTCTTTTTATTTTTATTTTTTAATTATTTTTAAAGGTTGGTTTATCTTTGAGAGAGAGGGAGACAGAGGATCCAAAGCTGGCTCTGTGCTGACAGCAGCAAGCCCAATGCGGGGCTCAAGCTCACAAACCGTGAGATCATGACCTGAGCTGAAGTTGGACGCTCAATAGACTGAGCCCCTAGGTGCCCCATCTCCTTGCCTCTTTTAAAGCTACCATCCACGTTCTTGATTTCTTTGTATATCTTAATCTCGCCATTATTTTCTTCTCAGCTTGCTCTCTCCTGTTTTCTCTACAAATAAAATCCAAAAGACCCTTTTTATTTTAAGGGTGTTCTTGCTGATCACTGTGGGGAAATGGCTAAAAACCCTATCCATGGGCTGCCAGACTGCCAAAGGAACTTTCTCCCTGTCTCTAGCCCCAACTCTGTCCTTTCCCTGGCGTGCAGCAGTCTGTCGAGACAGTTGTGCTAGTCACAATTTTACATTCACTGTCCCATTTAATTACAACAGGACACCAAGAATACACATTCTCTTCATTTTTACAGTTGAGGAAAGTGAGGCTCAGAGCATAAAATGAGGTGTTCAACCCGGAGGCCTTCTTGAGCTGAGCACCCAGGGTGAGATCTCAGCAGGTCTAACTACCGTGAAGGCTTTCCTTTTCTTTTTTGTCTTTTTAAAGTATTTATTTATTTACTTACTTAGGGAGAGAGCATGAGAGAGAAAGCACACAAGCAGGAGAAGGGGGGAGAGAGAGAATCCCAAGTAGGCTCTGCACTGCCAGAATAGACCCCCACACGGGGCTCAAACTCACAAACCGTGAGATCATGGCCTGAGCCGAAATTAAGTCAGACGCTTAGCCAACTGAGCTACCCAGGCGCCCCAGAGCTTTCCTTTTCATAAGAATACCGGGGCGCCTGGGTGGCACAGTCGGTTAAGCGATCCCGACTTCGTCGCAGGTCTGCGGGATCTTCTGTGATCGTGAGCTTCAGCCCCGCATCATTCGCTCGATGGCTCAACCTGGAGCCTGTTTCGATTACTATGTCTCCCTCTCTCTCTCCTACCCCTCTAGTTCATGCTCTGTCTCTCTCTGTCCCAAAAATAAAGAAACATTGAAAAAAAAAATTTAAAAAAAAAAAAAAAAAAAAGAATACCTACAGGCTCAGCATAGTTTCATGCTGGCACTTTTTGCTGGGCCGTTTGTTCATTTCAGCAACACAAGTACACCAAGAGCACTATGGTGGTCAAGAGTTACAGCTTAGTGTCCGGCTGACCCATCAGGTCCTTGTTCCACCCTTGAGCAACTGTTTGACCTTGGGCAGGTTGCTTGACTCTAAGTTTTGGGGTCCCCATCTGCAACTGGGAGTGGTTGTAGGGATTAAGTATCAACTTTCTCAGCCCCGTGCCCAACACCTAGCATTGCTCAGCAAAGGGGAGAGATTCCTGTCCTTGCCTTCCAGATTTCAGCCCCAGAGAAGGGGCCTCTTTCTTTTTTTTTAAATGTTTTTGTTTATTTTTGAGAGAGAGATGGAGACAGCGAGCAGGGGAGGGGCAGAAAGAGAGGGAGACAGAGGATCTGAAGCAGGCTCTGCTCTGACAGCAGAGAGCCCGATGCGGGGCCCCAACTCTCAAACTGTGAGATCATGACCGGAGCTTAACTGGAGGTTAAGTCAGATACTTAACAGACTGAGCCACCCAGGCGCCCTGAGAAGGGGCCTCTTGAGTAAGGAAGGCCTCTCCTGCCTGATGTGCCATTCCCCTGCAGACGTCTGGAAGCCCAGCTCTCTCTGGTCCTGTCACTCCTGGCCCCCAGCACTTCCACCTGTCGCAGCTAAACTGGGCTCTGCCCTCAGGTGGAGGAGCCAAGCTCTCATTACCTGTCACTAGGCCAACCACAGCCCATTAGCCTCGCATCTGCTCCCTGCTGTCTGTGGGCCTGTGTCCTGGTTCCCACCAGAGGGTCACCTCAACTTCCTGGGCTCTTGCCACACCCTCTCCTCACTTGGCTTTCTCACTACTTCCACAGATGACCTAAACTGGGAAAGGAAACTCCAGCACTACCCAGTGGGGCTGGCGGGGGACCCTCAGAGTACATTTGTGCAATGAGTGAATCGATGGCATCCCAAAATATTTCAAAGGTGGACCCAGTCTAACAAGTTGGAATGTAAAATCCTACATGAAGGACGTAAAAACCAATCAATCGCTCACCCATGTGCTGGGATACAGCAGCTTGAGT